TTGCCGCCACGCCACGCCGCGCCGCGATAGGTCACACCGCCCCATCGGCGGCCAATCAGGGCGGAGATGGCGCGGCGCCGGCGTGGCGCAATTTGGCGGCAAATTACAAGTTCACAGCGTCATCCCGTCGCGCCATACGGGGCGTCACCCGGCATGCGAGCCTTTATGACGGGCTAGCCACCACTCCTACACAACAACAACAAAAAAATCAATTTTCTTTTGCATAATCATCTGCCTTTGAGGCAAAGATTTGCCACGTTTGTTGCTCTTCATCTCGTCGTGACCCAAAAAGCAAGATAGTAGCAGCGCGGCCATGTGTCTAGTCCATAAAACAGATGGCAGACTCTTGTCCGCGGCGCCGCGCCTGCCCGAACGACTGAAAACGGGTTCGAAACGCGAAAACGAAACGAGCAATTGACTTTTACAGGCTCGACCAGATAAAGCGCCCACAAAAACTGCAACGCGGGCGATTAAGGATGTGTGTGTGTGTGCGTACGTGATGTCCAGGCGTGTTGGTGCAATTTGTTACAAGGCATGTCACTCACGTCAACCACCTTGAGCGCGCGCGCGATAGAGAGAAAGAGAGAGAGAGACTCACATAATACTTATCGCAGCCTGACAAGCCTCAAGGTGAAGCGGCGGCGACGACCCGATACACCCCTCTATTCATTATCGTCATTTTTTAGCTCTTTTTTCGCGTCCTCCATTTGGACTTCTTGGTGCTGTGCGACTCGCGCTCGCTATCGGTAATAAGGCTAAAGTGCGAGCCGACGCGGCCGGGCCGACACCTTGCGCGCCGCAGCGGCCCGCAGCAGCGCACAGTCACGCCGCGACCTTCACCCCGGCCCGAGCCCCGGCCGGCCAGACGCGCTCGAGGGCCTGCTGCAGGAGAGGCAGCAGCGCTTGCCTCGCGACCTCACGCGTGACCATCGGAGCTCATCAGAGGGGCGAGACAGCGAGGCTGAGAGAGACGCATGCACGGCCGTCAGGCCGAGGAACCTTTACAGTACTCCCGCAACCAGGAGCGGGCCATCTACTGTTCCAAAAGGTCTGCCGTCTTCCCCGTTTAAACCAATGACAAAAACAATCACGCAATGTCATGCTCACTTCGCGTCCGACCCACCCCACGCGTCCCACCCCGTCCGCAAAGTCGTGCACATGATCATCATATCGGACACGCTCTCCACTCTCTTCCCCCCGCACACAGTCCCCAGGTATATGTACAGTACAGTACGCCTCCTACGCGACCTTTGGGCGTCGACTCCTCTCTTTGCTCGGGTCAGGTCCACAGGGGCTATGACGCACGACACGAGGACGCACGCAAGCGCGGGCACAGAGTACACTCACACATGATGCCCAACTTGATATGCAGACCAGCGACACGGACAAATACGGGGCCTCCCTCATCCTCATATAATACCGTGGATTCCACACAGCACCTAATTTGCGCGGGGAGGTCTGATAAAACTTTTCCACTGCGCGGCGGTAGGTGGTGTTTAGTTGTTTTTATTATGTTCCATACACACACGGCTGTCTTTGCCAACCCAGAAAGCACCCCAGAGAAGCAGCTAGAGAAACTGTAAAAGGCGCTAACAAGCGGCAGCGCAAGGTAGGTGTGAGAGAGACGTTGTGGTCGTCGTCCCTCTCTCATTCTCAATTCCAGAGATTTCAACCTGTGGGACTATGCCGGGCGGTCCCGCCACTTCGCGTATATGACCGAGAGCCGTGTGCAAAACAACTCGATTCTTACACGCTCCCCTCTTGGTAATAAGACTTTACAAAAAAAAAGGACTCATAGATAAATCCCCCGGCAAAAGTGCGGAAAAACAACTAATTGATGCGGTAGTGGCTGGTTGGCACGCCCGCGCAAGCGTGAGGGTACCCCCGTAACGACATTATTAGCGGCAGACGTCTTTATTATTTATAAAAAAAAAAAAAAAAAAAAATATCCCAGGCAAATGGAGACAAATTACGGCGAGAGCAGCAAACTATGCCGCGCGGCTTGCGGATGTCTAATTGAGAGTGAGAGAGATAACATCACACACGGCGACCCTGACGAGTCCCTCTCACTCGCCCTCTCTCTCCGTCTCCGTCAGATCGATAATACCCACAGACAGGTGTATAGTTACTCGAGTTCCCATGGGCCGTGGCGGAACGGTGCAAAGCAAACACCACGACCGCCCGTGGGGGGAGTGGGGGCGCTACCCCGCTGGACCGCGAGCTCGGTCGGGGCAGCGTCTGCCTCTCTGCCTCGCCGCGGGCACCGCGCTACCGGCCGAGGTAGGAAAACAAGCATCACTGCATTGTTGTAGGAGCAGAGCATGCTGCTGCACAGCCCCGCTCCGAACACCAAAAAAAAGGGGGGGAGGGGAATACGTACTGGACAATAGCAATAAAGCGGGTGAGACAGAAGGTGGAGAGTGTACTACTACTGTGCATGTGCCGGTCAGCTGGCGGGCCACGTTGGGCTGGGCGGGGCACCTGTCTGTGACAGCGGGGCGTGGCACGGTGTCCACCTGCATTACACAATCCCAAGGTGCACACCCACGCTGGGGCGGGGAAGGGCGGGGCGCGGCAGCGGCGGGGCCCGCAGCCAGGCAGGAACCACAACACGGCCGAACACGGCCGCCGAGCATTGGCCGCCCCGCCCGGCCCCGCCCCGCGTCGCCTACCGAAACGCTGGCTGCTTGTCGCGCCGTCGCGTCACCGTGTCGCACCGGCCCTGGACCAAATCATCAAGATGGCCCTGACGGGATGCTGCAGCTGTCGCGTCGCGAGAAAGAGAGATGGGGCCGATCCCTCCGTCCCCTCCCCCCTCCCCCCGCGACGCGGCGTCGGGACGGCCTTGGCGCCGGCGCGCCGCCAGTGGGATGCGCCCGCCCCGGCCCGGCCGGGTGCGACGGACCGACCGCCTCCTGGAGGAGGAGGAGTAGGATGGGGAGCACGGCTTCTTATAGCGCCATTAATCGATTGCGATTGGCCACCGCATGCAGCGCGGGCAGGTTCCCATGGCAACGTGTGAGGTCAGGCTCGCATTGGTACTTTATTTATAAGTTAATATCGACCCCGCCCCCGCTCCGCTGCAGCAGCAGCAGCACGGCGCGAGAATGTCGTCGGTGAACTCTGCCCCGACCGGGGCGAGCGGCCCGAGCGGCAGGGGGAAGAGAGGAACTTCCCCGTCCCCTCATGTCCCCTGCTCGGCTTGGTATTTATACACCGACCGGCCGCAGCGCGCTGCTCGCCTCCCCCTTCCCCGCTCGGCTAGCTAATTGTTTTCGATGTCACGGCCTTTTAATCCGCCCTAAACGCTCCGCGGCGCGCCGTCGCACGTTGTTAGCTGGAAAGTAAAACTTGGGACACCCTCGGCCCGGCATAGGCGACTTGCGCGGGCAGAAAACCGCCACGGCGGCGGCAAAAGTCCGGACAAAAGAGGCCGCGAAACTAAAGCCCTTCTATGGGGCCCATGCTGCCAAGCTGGTCGGGGGGGCTGAGCCCTACCGAAGAGGGGCTTAAGTCGGCGCCGTCCGACCGCGCCCCCCCGCCGCCCCACCCCAGCCCGCTCCCGCCCACCCCCACGACGTCAAGGGAGAGGGAAGCAGAATAAGGCAGGCGGGGGAAGTCCTACACACCAAGACATTCTGAGGGCCCAAAGCAGCCAGCAAGGACGACGACGCCAAATCTGCACCAGGAATTTCATATAAAATGTCTACCTGCTTCTGTTTCATAAATTTCTTTTGGCAAATTTACTAATTCAAAACAGCTAATTGCAAATTATTATATTTTTCCTTTCTGAATGGACATTTTTATAACTCTACAGATTATTCTCTGCTACATATTGTCTTTTCCCATTACAAGACCATTGTTTTCTTGAAAATTTACAGAATTTTTTTAACAGCGTTGTGTAAGGGGCCGGCCGGGGGCACATCTCCTTTTAACGCAGCGGCGACAACTACCTGCAAGGAGCGGCGCCACTGGTTCGCCATGGGACTCGGCACAGCTTCCCTAGCTGGAAGGCCTACTGCCAGTCGACCTACATACTGTCATTCCACACATGCAGTGTCCACCACATTAATGTCACGAGAGAGAGAGACAGAGGCAGCGGGACAGATTGGGAAGCCGGTCTGGTAGAAATAGGAAAGGGGTAGAGAGGGAGAGCGAGAGCAGTATAGAAAGGGCTGGGGCTGCGCTGCAATGTGAGAGTGAGGGAGGAGAGAGATTGCCCAGCTCCCACTCGCTCGACTCGCTCGCTCGCTCCCTCTCGCCCCAATTACTCCGGTCCTTAGGCACTCACGCCCCGTGACTCGCTCGCTCACAGTTTTGCAGCGACAATAACTCCTTCCATCGAGCGAACTCTGCTCGGCGCGCGAGCAGCAGCTCCCCCCTCTCTCGTCCGCAGCATCGATTACGTGTCATTCAAATCGAAAGTGTGAAAAATTCAACCGGCGTGACGGGCGGGGCGCGGGGGCGGGGGCGGTGCTCCGCGGAGGGCGGTAGCGAGGTTTACGCGGCCGCTCCGCCCGCAGGCAGGCACAGGACAGCGCTGCGATCTGCCGCTGAACTCTTCCTCATCGAAACTCGCGTACAACGAGATTAGACAGAGGTCATGATAAAGATAGCAAAACTTGTCTTTGCGTAAAAAGTGGCTTTGAAAGTGATAGACACGTAAACGAGTCTCCAGTTCCACGCGTGTTTCTCAAACTTGACACCTGTGCGGTACGATTGAAAGCGTCTTTCGTGCGTTTCCTTAAGGAGCGGGACACTCAGAGGCACTCCTCAGCTCAGGATATATGCATGTCCTTGAGCTTGCAGCCGGCAGCAGCAGCAGCACGGTTCAAATCCTCTCTTCCTGGACAATGACAACAGCAGCGGCAGTGCGGCGACGACGGTCGTGTCGGCCGAGGAGGAAGCGTCAACATCCACAGAGAGTATGAACACCACTGCAGGGCGGTTGGCGCCGGGGGAAGTCCCACCCGAGACACCACCACAAATAAACCACTGACCGAAATGCACAGAGTGTTTTATCCGACAAGACTCGCGCACGAAACACAAACACAGCAAAAACAAACACACGCACACACGAGCGCGTACTCGGGCGTTCGCGTAGACGGGGGGCGCGGGTGCCACGGCAGGTGATACGGGCTGTCCTCGCGGTGGGGCAGCGGCGTGACAACTGAAGGCTACTCCTCCACTACTACTCGCCGTGCCGTGAGGCCGGGCGGGCGCGGCGCGGCGCGGCTCGGCGCGGCCTGGTGGCGGCTCGGCCCGGCGCGTGCTGCAGGAGGGGGCCCGTGTGTGTGTGCGTGTCTCAAGACGGGCGGGGCGGGCGGCGCGCGGGGGAAGACCCGCCAGACACCCCGGCCCGGACCCCACCGTGCAACATGAGCCACCTTCCCCCGGCACCCACCCCCGCCCCTGCCGCCGCGTCGCGCGCGTCCCAAAACACTTTCGAGTATGCAGCACACGGTCCGAGCAGTGCACCTTTATGATCGAGGGGCAATTAAATGTATTTTTACCATTGACATCTGCAAACAAACATGAGTTCAATATTGTATTTATATTTCCAGAAGTCGGTCACTCTAGTTCTAGTAATTGTCTTTAGGCATTTGGAGTGTAATCATGTGAAGCTCTGAAACAATCATTCGTTTCCACTGGAGAGACATTCCTTATCCTCAGAGATGGAGCAGCTGATTGCTATCAATTAAACGCCAACCTTATGCATAAGCAGCAAGCTCTCAATACATGTAGTTATCGACTTAAAAACACTAAGTTAAATTGGCCCTTTATGCAAAAAATATGCCAAAGATAAAGAACCCCAACCTTGCTCTAAAGAATTGGACAATGCACAAAAACACTATGCATCTAAAAATACCGGCGGTCGTATTATTTTCCGTTAGTGAACGCCTCTACTGTGATATTTTTCAATGATTTACTGCACCACGCGTGGATGGGTTGCCCTCTGTGCTCGCGACCATAAGGCGCAAACCCGCTCGCACGCCTGCCACCTGGTATGTAACACTCGTCGTGCTCTTGAGGGGCCTAGATTGTCGCAGCATAAGAACGCGTGCCGAGGTGGCCGCCGACCCCACCCACCCCCTCACAATCCATTTAATAAGTCTGAATCCAGTGTCGCACTCGAGTTAGCCCCATTCGACAAGACGAGCTTTCACCTCTTTCATGATGCTGCATAATCAAATCCTTTTCCAGGCAATGAACTAATATCGTCAATAACAATCAACGAACCGTGCCTTTATATCATAACAATATGCCGCTAAAAATATCTGTTATATTTCTTTTCGAATGAAGATGTGGAATAATTACATAATTGTCGATAGCGAGAAATATGCATCAGTCTTTGGCCGTGCCAATTAGCTCCTTATGACGGCCGCCACGTAACGAGACGCTTGCAGCCACGCAAGAAGGCCGGTCACTGACATGACGACCTGACGCGGCTGCACTCTCGGGATGATGACGCTGAGAAAGAGGAGAG